CTTTCTGCTGCTTATAATGTCCTTGTATCTCTCTACACAGTGATCACAGAAGTCTGTTTCATTGCAACAGATTTAATTGTTCATTGACACCAAGAGGGAGGGAGTGACTGAGATGACAGGCAGCATTAAAGATGAGGTTTAGCTTGTCTTATTGGGCAATTTGATAAGAGATGTTGATTCTGAAAGCTCTCACAAGGGCTTTTTATTTGTTTGCTTAATACTGAACTGTTTTAGAACTGCACACAGCTGAGCTGACAGGAGATTCAAACTGAGCGTGTTGGTTTGGGAATTACGGGGGTGGTGAGATGCAGGAAAATAGCCTCTGTCTTCTTCACAGGAAAGTCAGCTGATAAACTGATCTTAAGACAACGAATCTTCCTTCCTGTAAAATGCAATAACAGGCAGATCTTACAACCTCAGCGACCTTCTGCTAACTTTATTCTGAACCAGGGCAAATAGTGGGGAAGCTTTCCTTGGCAAATATATCACACAGATTCTATATGAATCAGACGGCTGTGCTTACAGTGAGCGCCAACAATACCCGCATAGTGGACCACATATCTTTCAAAGCAGACGAGTTCACAAAGAAGTCCCCTGCACATGAAGATAAGCTGCAGTAGGCTTTTCATTAAACATCCGCTGTGTACTTCCTGCCAGAGCAGTGAGCTTGGCCCGAGGGAGCTGATTGACGAGCAGTAGCAGTCAGTCTATGAACGTTTCTCATTTTGTTATTTAGGCCAGCTCTTCCCTACAGCTCTCAGTAGAGGGCAAAGAGAAACACACCATTTATGTCACCTTATTAAGTACACACAGCTTTTGCAGCCCTGCATCATGCTGTAGCCTTTCTCGTCCTTCTCTTGGCACCATGCAACAGAGTAAACATCATAAAGAACATAAAAAGGAGTTTTCCTGAATTTTCCCTTCACTCCCCTGGCAACAGAAAGCTTTAATAGGGTAGGTTTTTTTCCCCTCAAGAAAACATTTCCTTCCCCCACTCACATAGGGCTGGCAAAAATTCAAGCCCTTGTGCTTGGTAATGCTCAAGGGTTTCTCCAGGAAGCTCTGTTTTAAAGAGTTAACACAGCTGCTCAGTCACCCTGCTTCTAATTACACCATGACCATGGTCACTTTCTCCTGCTGAAAGTGACTTCGCCTGCAGAATCTGACCTGCCACAGACAGCTTGTTCCACTCGCTCTCTAATAATGATGATACGGAGTAGAGAGACTTTCTATTGCCTTGTGCCTCCTGCAGTTATTTATACCTGTGCTGAGGGTGCATAAAATGCTACTAATCACTAGAATTTTACACCCACTTCGCTTGAAAGCCTCTTCTCCACACATCTATGCTGAGCTTTACAAGCATTAACTATTAAGCCTTGCAATTTTTGCTGTTAAATAACATTGATACTCCGCAGCCCAGTTGTATTAAATGATGTATAAACATATGGAAAAATAATTGCCTGCCTGAAAAAACTTGTGGTCAGAAAAAGACACAAAGGAGACAAACAAGCAGGTTGAGGACATGTAAAGGAAATAATAGTACACAGTCATTAACCCCTAGTGAGAGGCCTGAAGAGATATTATACCCATTTTTTACAAATGGGCAAACTGAGATAGAGAGTTTAACAGGTGAGCAAGTTATTTTCAAGGGAAGAAAGTGAACATAGTGGTAAAGAATCTGTGTCAGAGTCAGGATTAGCAATCAAGGGGTTTGGTCCTTGAGACTCGTGCTTAAACTATTAAATTAATACAAAACTGCTTAAGGGAGAAGAAGGGAGGCCCAAGACTTTCCACAATAATTTATTAACTGCGTGCCTCCATTTCTGGAACCTCATTTAAGATGCACCATAATCTAGTTTTTCAAAGAGCAGGTAGGTGGCTCACCACTTTCTATGAATCAGATCTCTTTAAAGTGCGTTAAGGTGGGCACCCAAAAATGGAAGTTGTCAAATTGTTAACTATTGTGTAAAAGAAAACCTTGGGATAAATGCTAGTTACTGAGTATAAAGCACTAACATGTAAAACAGAAGTATTATAAATATACCTTACATCTCTGTGAACAAGTAAACTATGATTATGTTTTGGTCAGCCCCCTAATATAAGACTAAGAACATAATGGTCCAGTATCCTGTCTTTGACAAAAACCATGCTGACTCTTCTCCAGCAGATCATATTTGTCTATGTGACTTCTGATTTTATTCTTTATTATAGATTCTACCAACTTGCCAGGGATTAAAATGAGACCTACTGGTCTGTAGTTCCCAGGATCACTTCTAGAGCCCTTTCTAAAGATAGGTGCTGTGTTGGCAACCTGCCAGTCTTCTGGCACAAAGGATATTTGTAATGACGGGTTACAGTGCTATTGCCAACAGTTCTTCAATTTCACCTTTGAATTCCTTCAGAACTCTTGGGTGAATCCCATCTAGTCCTGGAAACTTATTAGCATTTAATTTATCAGGTTGTTCTAAAACTTCTGCTATCACTCCAATGTGATTCAGTTCTTCAGAACTATCTACTACGAAGGACTGACTTGATGTGGAAATTTCTCCCAGTATCTTCTGCAGTAAAAAACAATGCAAAGAATTCATTTAGTTTCTCTGCTATGACCCTACCATTTCTAACTGCACCTTTCATACCTTGGTCATCTAATGGTCCCACTGATTCTCTCACTGGCTTCCTGCTTCTGATGTATTTTAAAAAAGTTTCATTATTAATATAAGCATATTTTGCAAGACTCTCCTCAAATTCTTTTTTGCCCTGCATTCTTTTGCTTTTACATTTGACCCATCCAAGTTTATAAGTGTTCCTGTTTTCCTCATTTGAACATGCTTTCCATTATTTGAAGGATGCCTTTTGCCTTAGATAGCCTCCTTGGCCACATCCAGACTTGCAAGGGTGTGTGGTTTATGGCACCACAAACCACACGTGGTGAATGTTAAAATGTGCCCCAAGCTACAAATTTGCATCACGAGGCCAAATTTGCTACCAAGATTTCCCAGTAGCAAAAATTCCCCCTGGCAATGTAAGTGGCACAATGCATGCACAGCAAGTGTGCACCAGCACACGCAGATGCTGGGCCATCCAGGGAGACGTTCTAGTTGCTGGTCAGGCCTGAATGCTGCCAGACCTGTGCCTTTGCTGCTCCAGGCCACCAGGTAAGGCTGTTGGGGCCAGCACTGGTGCTGGCCCTAGCCTCCAGCTCTCCCTGGCTGAAGAGCTGGGAGGAACTGGGCAATGGCAGTTTGCCCATTGGGAGACAATTTGTCCTGCGATGCACACATGCAGGGGCATTCACTGTGGCAATTTGTCCGCTGTAAGCTCACGGCCCTGCATGTCTGGATGCAGCCCTTAACTCTATTATTAAACCATACAGGGGGTTTATTGGACCCTTTATGATATGTGGTATATACTTTTCCTGAGCCTCAAATATAATATTTTAAAACAGCTTCCAGGCTGCCTGTAGACCTTTTACATTGTTGACTACTTCATTTAACTTCTTTCTAAGTAGTTTCCCCTTTTATTTGTAATTTCCTGAAGTTACATATAGGCATGATAGATTTTTTTGGGTCACTCTCACCTGCTAAGACGTTGAATGTGATTATGTTATGGTCACTATTACAAAGCAGCTCACCTACAGATACCTCTAGGACCAGGTCCTGTGTGTTAGTTAGGATTGGGTCTAGTATTGCTAGTACTGCTTCCATGGGCAGTCTCCACAGAAAACCCCTGCAAAGGATCAGGCCCCTCTGCTTTTTTTTTCCCCCCAGCAGAGCCTGCTTGCACAAGCTGCCACCGTGCAGCCCATGATCTGTGGGGGGCCCAGTCCTTCCCTCCACAGTGGCGGCACCCCCTCGGGCCACCTGGGCAAGGTGCTAGCTGCGCAGATGCTGTCCCAGCTTGTAGGCAGCACCCACCGCATCCAGCCCTTCCCTGAGCCTGCCTAGGGAGCAGCGCCCAGCAGGCTTCTAGCGCACGGGCTCAGGAAAGAGTTGGATCTGGTGTATGCTACCTGCAGGCTGGGGCAGCACCCATGCAGCTAGCATCCCTCCTGGTCAGCCCTGGGGCTGCCACCACTGTGGAGAGAAGGACCAGGCCTACCCCTTCCCCCACTTCCAGTTCACGCGGGCATGCTCCATTGAAAAAAAAAAAAGCGGTGAAGGGCCTAATCCTTTTTTTTCCCCCACAGAGCCTGCCCACCTCTCCTGTGGCTGAGGGGTGACCTGCCAGCAGGCCATGAGCTGTGGGGAGCCCCAGCCCTTCCCTCCATGGTGGTGGCACCCCCCCCCCCCGCACA